GCTGTCGCTCACGCCGGTCGGCACCCGCCGCGCTGCAGCTGCAGGCGGGCGGGTGGGCGACAGTTTGGGGCGATCGATTACGAGGCCCTCGAGGGAGCCGAGCAGGGGGGACGTACCGCGGGCGGCGTGCGGGCGCGCTCGGCTGCTTCATTCCATTCACAGACGACCGCGGTGCATTCGAGTCGGAGACGGAGCAGCGTCGCTGTCGTGCGCAGAGCTGGACGAGTCGCGTTCTGCGAGGCGAGACAGACCCGGTTGAGACGTTTCTGGGATGCTCCTCGTTCAGAGCTGCATGCTGCCGTGTTCGTGTTCTCCGTCACTAGGCTGCGTCCCTTTGTCGAGGACTGTTGATGGGCCGACATGGCACCCCTTCTGTGCCCGGCGGGCTCCTATCTGCCGCACACGAGGACCTGCGCTGCTCTGCGGATGTGCTGCGAGCGATATCCACGGTGATTCCACGGCGTGAGACGTCGTCTCTGCCGAGATGCTTGTGTTTTCGGGGGAAAGGTGAGGGGGGGGGAGGCCTGACAGGCAGATAGAGAAGCATTGGCAAATGTGAAGACAGAGACGAGGGAAGATGGGAATCGACGTATAGCGTACAGCACGGCCTCGACTCCTCCCTCGTTTGGTCGCATCGTCTCTTTGGAGCGTCATACGCCCGCGACGAGGGATCTGGTTGGCGGGCAGGGACTCGAAGGCCGGGCTGGCGACGTCATAGGGATGCATGCGGGTGTGCGAGCCGCGTCTGGTAACGGTGCGCTTTTGCAGGACTCGAGCCTGGGCCGTGGCTGATGTTTTTCTGCTTCGCGGCTGGTGTCGTCGGCTATGTATAGTATGTCCCCAGTGTCAGGTGGAGACGACGGTGCAGCTGGCCCCGCTTGAGCTCTGCGTCGGGAAGACGGGTCGCCGGTGTCCATAACGCCCATATGGTTCACACTAGTCTCTGCGCCACCGCCGCCGCCGGCATGAAACGACGGTATCATGGTCTATTCCTCACCGTCGCTCTATGCTCTGTCATTCCAGCCACCGCCGGCCAATCGCATAGTGGATGTCTTTGCAAGCGACAAATCTGCCGGCCCCACTCCAGGTTGCTTGGTAACCGCGCTGGCGGGCGGCAGGAAATCGTCGTGGGCGGCGACGTGGACCGTGCTGTCCGCGGTGTGCTGGGCCTGCATCATCTACATGGAGGCAACGGTCGCGTTTGCGGCCTGGGGACACGGGCCGGCACTGCGTACTTGTGGACGTGAGTGCAGGCCGGTGACGTCAAGCTGGGTGTCCGAGCCAGGGCGGCTGTCGCCAAGTCGGTAGGTGGGGGCAGGGAGTCCCACGCCAAGCCGGGTGGCCCACCTGGGACGATGTGTAACCGAAGGGGGCAGCGCGTGTAGGCCATTGAGTTGTGGACGGTGGCGGCGGTTGAGCGCTGCTTGGCGACGGACGCCGAGTCGGTGTCGACGAGCGGCGCCGGGGGAAGACCAGGTCAGTGCGAATGGACCGGACAGCGTGGCCGACGACCCGGCCCGGTGGATCGCCAGAGGACGACGACAGATGCAGCGGGGGGCACTCGGATCTCGACTCTGCGGGCGGAGCGCGGCCTACCGGATCTGTCCAACATCTGCCACTGCCAGGTCCTAGTGGCGTGCCTCGAGGCCGGATATGGACGCTCTCCCTGCGCGATCGAGCACGGACTCTCGCGCGTGCGCCACAATCGTCCAGATCGTGCTTCTCGATTGGGTCGATAGCGGCCTCCCTCCTGCCGAGGCCACCAGCGCTGACGGGGGGTCGTCCATCGACGAGGTCGAGGCCAATTTGAAGCTCCAAATAATACAGTGAGCAATCCCCCCAATCCGTACTGGCTAGCCTCCCAGGGAGCGCCCCCCCCTCCTCATCAGCTGTACTACGCGGCGACCGCGCTCATACGGACCGCCCGATTCCCTACTGGTTAAAAATACAAAGACCCGACGCACGGCCAACTCTACCTGACTCTGCAGCCCCCCCATCGCCAAATTCGTCCATCTTGTGCTTTTTTTTTCCCCCAATACTCGGGGGGTACACTCTCGCAGGTCTCCGACTCCGACCGCTGGCTCTCTGGCTTTAAATCGTTAGGATAGAGCGACTGATATCCCCCGACGATTACGATTCAAAGACTGTCTAGGACAGTGATATCTTCGAGTCGAGCAGTGCACCATGTACCCGGTTGCTCATGCACATGGACGAGTGTGCTGCACGTGCCTTTGGGGACTGTCTCCTGGACCTCTGGGGGTCTGTGCTGCCGTTCTCCGTTGCTTGTTTCTCGCTGAATACATCATCCCATGTGATCGTCACAGACGACCCCGCCCGCCCGTCGCATCCCCCTCACTAGGCTCTTTTCCGTGCATATGTGGCGATCCCCCTGTGCTCGCATCCGCATCGAGCTACCCCTGGCGACAGCGTGCTGGATACATCTTGGGGCGCACGCTGGTGTGCGGAGGGCAAACGCGCGGACCCAGCTCCTGCTCACATATCCTGTACATCAGCGGTCCGACGCTGTTCGGACGCGCGGTGCTGCGTTGA